GGGCGTTTATAAGGGGGAGGGGTGTCTCTGATATTCGCGGTTCAAAAGGGGTTTAGAGGGCGTTAATTGGGGGAAGGGTACATCCGGCGAGTTGAGACCAGAGATCCAAAAGGGGTGCAGCAGGGGGTGCAATAGAAGATGTAACCATGGTAGTATGTGGATAAGAAGGCTTGGAACAGGGGTTGCAGCAGCGGGTACAACAGGAGAAATGGAAATGGGGGGTTGGAAAGAGTAGTATGAAAAAGGGATGCAACAGGGGGTGAAGCTGGGGAAAGAGGTGGATAAGAGGGGTTGGAACAGGGGGACATATGGTTTAACAGGAAAAGTGGACAGGGGAAACGGAGAAGCAGGAACAAAGGGTAAACATTGAAAGATTAAAGAGGAGTTCAACAGCAAAGTATGACAGCACTGGTGTGCAAATGGGTTGTGCAACATAGGTGAGGCTTTAAACTCTATGAATCAAAAACTTGTACCCATGTAAAAGGCCTAACCTAACCTATAGCCTAACCTAACCTATAGCCTAACCTATAGCTCGTAGTGAATATATTCATAACTATATACCAGAACCAGTATTTTCAATTCTCTTGTAGCATCTGCGTGACACCCCCTAACATCAAACAGGGATTACTCATCACTCATACCAAAGGTCATTCCCCTACCATTGTTTACAATATTACTTCGTCCACCTGACTCATGCTTATGTCATCATCATTTATGCAGAATCAGCATATTTACTGTCAAAGGCAATGAGTCATGATAACGGGAAAGGGGTAACCCCAATATGGTGCGTCATGAATTTTGTGCTGCAGTACTGTTTGTGGAATCAACGCTGATCACATTGAATTTACCTAGCACTCATCTCGAAAACTGGTTATATGAAAGAGATATAACATTCTATTGTCTGGAAAAAGGGTCCCTGGGACCTGATGGGGCCTTGCTCCCTAGCTAGTATTTGGAAAAGGTCCCTAGCTAGTAGATGATTCCTCCCTCCCCCCCCCCCAAGAAAAAAGATCATAGTTTTTTTTTCTTACATGTGTTACTGAATTTTAATGTATCCACTCTAGGCAAACATAACAGAAGACTAAAGATTACACAGCTTGACTTTGACATGTCAATAGATCTCTTTTTCCTTGCATCAGCAAATATTATCATAAGTGTTGCAACACAACCAGATTCTAAGCAACATGATAATTAAGCAAGCAAAGATAAAATCAGTCCTTGCACGAGGGAGCTTGATCAAGCACCTCTGCATGCGCCTAGGAAGTTCTCATCATCATCAGGTACCATCTTCTATCAGAAGGTTGGCTACCATGACCCTCCAACTATCAGGCCTGGTCATAAGACTTTAAGCAGGGGAGCATCAAACAGCTCTCCAAGTAATCTCCAGGTTAGCTATTTCTAGACACAGAAGAATACAAACAAAGGAAAAATGGATTTCAAGGAGAGCTATTTGCTTTTGAGAGCAAATTAAGGAGAGCAATCTGTAGCTCCTCTCCGGCATTTAAGGAGAGCCTGGAGGGGAGCAAGAGCTATGGCTCCCCTCAAATGGCCAGGCCGCCAACTATCCCTATCTTCAGAATATCAAAATCTGAGTTTTGGTTTGTTGTCATGGTCATAGATCAAACTAAGGGGCTAATAGTAGAGATGGGCCCCCAGAACCACCTCTACAGTGTCTTTAAAGGGACACCATCCCTCTTTCCAGGAGTTCTTCCACCCGAAGCCGTTGACCCCTGGAGTCGTAGCTCATCCGCCCTTCTCTTTTTCTAGGAGCTTGATTGATCAAGCACCTAGCATGTTTTTGCTGTCGAGAAACTAAATGCAAAAAATCAAATTTTGGTATTGATGTGATGATGCTCAATGGAACACCTAGAAAGTTGAAGCTGCTCAGTTTGTCAAGCACCTGCTTTTTGCACAAAGGCCTGATAAAATGGAAGTTTTTAGCATAGGACCAGAAACTCACCCTTCCTTGTGCTACAGGGGATATTCCTTGTGCAGGTCAATTGTATTTAGAACATTTAAAACCTTATATTCGCTTTTAGTGCATAGAACTGGACATTTCTAGGTTACTATTCCCAAGGGGCAAATCACTCTAGAAAAATCCCGTATACCTGAAAATCCTATATTTTTATCTAAAAATCCCTAGAAATCCTTTTGCTTTAGGGAAAATCTCATACGCTATTTGCAAGAGTGAATCGCCCCTCCACTACTCCAAGTTTCAGGCTAAATAAGGTTGGAGCTCCATCTTTCTCTGAATTATTTGCTTATTTCAAAAACCAGGAACAAAACACACATTTCTAGGAAATCTTATACAGGGGACATGTAAGGTAGTGTTGGGACACCAAACATCAAAGCGAGAGCTGAAATTAAACCCCTCTATTCTGAACAGCAAAATAAAGAAGTGGAACAAAATATAGCATGTTCAATTATTAGAATTGCATTCAAAAAAAGTAAACAAGCTTGATCTCTCCTCTCTCCCCAAACTTCCTTTTTCCTTGTTAGGGTTCAGATAGGCTCTTTAGCCTTTCCTTAACTTTACCATTTAATAAAAAGAAAAAAATTCAGATTGGTAAAAGGTATCTTTCACACCCAAGCGATTTGTGATGTTACATGCAATTTTTAACTGCATTGTAGAAAAAAAATTTATATATATTCATATACTTATATATCTTGTTATAATAATAATAATAATAATGAAAACATTTTTTTATTTTATATTCTTCTACTTACAACAGTAACCTCACTTTACAGGTAGTTTCTATCGGCTAGCCTGGTGACAAGTTTACTAATTTTACAAAAGTTACAACATTTAAATAAAATCATATGAGTGCAAAGAATCTTTATAAGGAGAGCAGTTCAGGGTTTGTCCAAGTCTTATTGCGCATACAGAATATATAATAGGATGTGCGTATAATTATTGCTGACAGTTTTTTAATTATAAAATTACGGTGTTGGTAGTCAAGTTTTAGTTCATCACACATATCGATGAAAGAATCACAGCAGTTACGAAAGATACCGAGACAGCTGATAGATAGATAGATAATAATAATAATAATAATAATAATAATAATAATACCTTTTTTACTGTTAGTTTGACAATAGTGTGAACACTAATAAACATAAACATGAAGCAATTTAAGAGATTGCATTATGGAAGTCATTGACTGCAAGCGTTACAAGTGTTATATCTTTAGTTAATTATTATTAATGTATATATTTTAGTATTTATTGGGCTGATCAGGATGACAAATAACAAATTTTTTGTAGGTTGGATTTTGCCAGCAAATCTTTTTTTCCCTTCTTCTTTTCTTTACCAAAAAATAAAAAAAACCTACTGTACCTTTGACTTGCAATAGTCTTAATAGGATCAGTGACAATGAAACTAGGGGGCACAGGAACATGTTCCCAATTTATTTAGGAAATGGCCCTTCAATTAGAAGGCATATCTTAAGAACTTATGAAATCATGAACTATTTCTTAAATAAGTTTTACCTTATTCTAAGTTCTACAAACCCAGGACTTTAAAACTTTGCCTCTTCAAACAAGAGGGTATCATGGAAATCAGGGACCGTGGAAGTAAAGGGCTAATAATTTCCCCAATAATTTCCAAAATGTACTTAAAACCATGCAAAAAATCACCCTGGTCTTGTTTTTAGCTCCCCCCCCCCAAAAAAAACATTTGCCTCTTCAACCTTTGTCTCTTACAAAAAAGAAGGTGTCATGGAAATCAGGGACCGTGGAAGTAGGGGGCTAATAATTTCCCCAATAATTTCCAAAATGTACTTAAAACCTTACAAAAAATCGCCCTGGTCTTGTTTTTAGCTCCCCCCAAAAAAAACGTTATAGCCCCCTCGATCTGTAATACGCTCCGAGGTCCTTTTGTGGAATTGCACAATTTTGCACCTCACTTGCATAAACTGCAGTTTTTTGCCCTACAGCAAAATAGTAATATATTATGGAAACAACAGGTTTAAACGGGGCAGTGATAAAATTGTATGGCCTTATTCCGTGACACAGCTCAACCATTTCAAAATAACCGCAATGATTTACGGAATTTTAAAAGCAAATTAAACATAAATATGTAAACACTATTGAAAGCCTGTGAATCGTCAGTTGATTTCTTTTTGCTTTTTATCGATTTGCTGGTCTTTAACTTTCCAATGAATGCAATGTTTTGAAATTAAAAAAAAAAACAAACCGCTGGTGAAAATTTCATGAGTAAGCTGTGTGAATGTTGACAATTGGACTTTGGCACTATCGTGGGGGATTTTCACATTGATGCGATGAGATGGATATTCACGATCAGATTATTTAAATCCAAAAAGCTGGTACCAGAATGAAACCGTCTAGCTCTGGAGACAGTCTGACAACTTCATTGTGAAAATTTTCTGTTCGACAAATGAGGGAGAAAAGATCTGCATTTAATACACGATATTTGGAAGGCAATCAAAGAGTCATTAGATCCGATTTCTCAATTCACTGTTGATCCCACTCGACAGCTGAATTGATAATGAAAAACAAAACCTCGTTTTTTTATATGTTTAAATCAAAGATATGTCCCGGGGAGTGGGGAAAATTGTATTTTATAAATTCTAGTGTGTGTGTATTATAGTACAAATTGGGTCATAACAAAATTATATGACAAAAGGTATCTCAGTAGAACTGAAGTTTATCTACTTCTAGAGAGCAAATGTTGATTTTTAATACAAAGGGTTTTCTCAAATTTATGCAACCCTGACAGGTGACCTGAAAACTTAATCGCAACTTGCTGTGTTTAAAAACACGCTGCGACAATGCGTCTTTAACTTTTCAATGCCGATCGGCCCTCCTGGCAAAAAACATCGTTTTACGCTGGTAATTTACAAAAGTCAAGATATGCTTCGCTACAAAACATTTATTTAAATATACTTGAACCCTCTGGGTGGCAATTGAAATTACAAAGGTTAAAACAGTTGGATATCTTTCACTTCAAATAACTCGTAATGAAACGCTATATAACAAACCTCCTCCATTCTTTTGACACAAATAAGGAAATCTCCAAACATTTCCAAGACCAACTGCGTAGCCAATAATAGCTAAAATAAACTCGACTTTATTGCCCCATCCACCTCTGTCGCCATCTCCCTCGATTGGTTTTACAGCGTCTTCACTTGAAGATGGATCTGTCTGCGAAATCGGCGGCTTCATCTCCACTTCGGGCTCGTTTAACTCCACTTCGTAGCCATCTGTTGACTTTGAAGTCGTCCGTTTTTTAAACTTAACACCTTCGACCGACATTTTGCAAAATCAAACTTAGGGTATTCAGGAGCCAAGACGAAAAAAGCAGGTTCTTATCTGGACATGTCAGGTTTAGGCTCGCCCCCTAGCAGCAGAAACCAACAACGTGACAATTCTAGGCCCATGCTGGGTTTACTTGCTGTCAATCAAATCGAATATCGATTGTTTTCTGATCGGCTTAGGATACTCCAATTGGTTACCCCTGGTGTAACATCAATCAAATTTGAATAAGACAAGTGAGCAATCTCACGGGCTTGTGCTTTCAAAGGGGGTTAAAAACAACGAAGCGAGGGGATTAAATAAAACATTAAAAGGGGAAAGGAGACACCTTTTGCGCTGTGGTTACATGGCGTTTATCTAAGAAGACAAATCGTTAAGCCAAAAGCCTTTTGAATACATTTGATAACGACATATTGTGGTTTTTGGATAATTTAAAAAAGGAATGAAACACGTAAAACCCCCTTTGTCTAGTCTGTGACTTGATAAAGCAAATAAAAATTTGATAATTCAAAGTAACTACGTCAAGAAAATGCTTGAATTACACAAGACCAGTTTCTTTGTTTTGATGTCAACAACAAATAGAGAGGCGCCACGCAGCAAATTATCTATTTGAAGCCCCTGCACCTTTTAAACCCTCTTATTCACGCCCCTGTTTAGCCCCTCTTCATCTCAACACTGCTTATTTTGAATTGACATTTCGGGGGTTTTAAGAGGGTTCAATCGAAAATATCCTTGAAACAGCTGAGGGTGTAATCACTTGATGGAAACTTCGTTTGGTAGAAATCCTATTTTTTACGGTAAATACCTAGAAATCCTATCGTTTTACAGTAAATTGCTAGAAATCCTATTTTTTACGGTAAATTCATAGAAATCCTATTGTTTTACGTTAAATCCCTAGAAATCCTATTGTTTTACGTTAAATCCCTAGAAATCCTATTGTTTTACAGTAAATCCATAGAAATCCTATCGTTTTACGGGAAATCCCTAGAAATCCTATTGTTTTACGGTAAATCCATAGAAATCCTATTGTTTTACGTTAAATCCATAGAAATCCTATTGTTTTGCCTGGAACCTCGATCGCTTTTTAAATGACTGAATTGCCCCTCGGAAAAAAACCGTTAGCGTTCCCTTGAGGAATGAGCGCCCCACTCAGATAAGCCCCCATGCCATAGACCCCATTCAAAACGAAGATAGGGGGTTCTACAATCACTTCCAAACGTCTTGGAACACTAACGTAGATTTTCAAAGGCAAATTCAGCCATCCCCCTCTCCCCCCCCCAGGAACAATGTTGATTTACTATAGAAAAAAAAGGGGTTATGGAGTACGCTTTTTCTTGTGGATTGTTTGATATTTTTTTATACTTTCAACATTGTTTTGGGAGGAAAGGGGGTGGAAGTGGTAGTATTCAAGAAAACAAATGAAAAATAGAAAAGCACAGCGCAAAATGTTAGGTGTTCCAAGTAATTTTGGAAGTGATTGCTAGGTTCTATCTTCGTTTGAAAGAGGTTTGGTCTACGGGGTAGGCTAGTCTTCCCCCTTAGAGAACAGAAATATTATAAAGATAAAATAAGAAAAGTTCTCTGATTGTATCTTGATATTATCTAAACACTTGGCGTCAGATCGAGATTTGAAATAGTTGCCGAGATATCGGATTTAAAGATATTGTTGGCAGTCAGACTTCAGCCATCGAAAGTACCAAAGACAAAGGGGCTAGAAGGGGTGCAGCCCCCTAAATAGGCAAAATATGTAGCATCGTCTGTGTACGTGAAAAAACTCAGTTCGACTGTGTACTCCAGTTTCGTATTGCTGCAATATTTTCAACCCATTGTTTTTAAGAGTTTCTTAATTCTAGTTGCATTTATAGGTTTATATATATATGCAATTTTTCATGTTAGGAATATGTTATACAACTAGTTTAGTCTGTCGTGCATCGTGTTTGTGGTTCGTTATTGTTATTGAGAATGTCTTTCGATGTTTGCGTCAGTCATTTTGTTTGTCATTGTGCCATCTCTATTTTAGTTGTTATTAGTCTATTTTACGTTAATTTGTGTCATTGGGGTTTTGTGTACGTCACTCGTGTTGCTAAAATCGTATGTTCTTTTAGTGCAAGTCCAGTCGAGTTGAAGTTGTCCTCTAATTTAGTCGGTAGGGTGTAAACGTGATTTTAGATGTTCGGATAGCCGTTGTTATTTCGAGAAGTTTGAAGCAAACCAGTTTTGCCGAAGTGAGCCGTTTAGTCGTTGTTGAATTAGATAAATTTATAAGAGGCGTCGAGCCAAGAAATCAGAACACGCTTATCAAATTTTGTACTATCTTTTACTGTCGAATCTGCGAACACAAGCCTGTAAAACCCTCGTAAATTCAGTGGTTTTAATCTCGTATTTTTTATTTCATAATTGCAGCATATAAGAAACTTTTGAAGTTGGTAGTGAACACCTTTTTTGAAACTTGTTAAGAATTTTTTTGCGTCCATAGTTGAAATTAGCTGTGAATTTTTTTTAAACAAGTTTTTTGTCAACCACTTTGATCAAATTTAATGAAATTTTGGGTATTGCTTTATCAAATCTGAATTCATTCTTAAGTTGTTGCCTTTTTTAGTACTTAAACTTTTTAATCTTTTCAGAGCATCCAACACTCGTTTCTTAAAGCACTTTTCTTAATAAAAAGAATATCTTATAGTTTAGGTGCACCCCAAATATCTACAAGATCTATTTTCGTCTGTGGTAGTGAAAGGGGGGGGGGTGATGCCCACAAAAACAAACAAATTTGCAAACAAATTATACATTATAAACTAATTTAAAGATGAAGATTTCAATTCTGACAGTTTTTCAACTTTTTTCATTGACATCCTCCATCTTAGTAATTTTTTTTACCAAAACGTATTAAGAAACACTGCCAAATTCAGTGCAAATTCAAAGTGGCTGCACAAAATTACAGCTAGATGCTGGGCCAGTAATATTCCCTTTATGCATTTCTTTACCAGAAAAAGAGATAACTTCCAAATTACATATAATCCCAAAAATTGCAAACTTTTCAATTGAGAAGTGCGCACATGAAAAAGAAGGTGTTTGAAAGTACCTGGGACCCAAAACCCGGAAGATAGTTATGAAAAACGGAAAACCCGGACTTGGAAATTAGAAAATCCTGAGACAAATATATATACTTCAACATGTTTCACCTTTTCCCGTGTTCTGCATTAAAATACCTTCGTACCAGAGGTGGCGCAAGAAATCTTCCGACAGAGGGGCTGGAGCTTCGGACAGGGGGGCTAAAATAACTAAAATAAGCAGTTTTCGTACGTTATTTTGTCAAATTTGCTCCGACAATAAACTAAAATTTCCTCCGATGGGGGGGGGGCTAGATTCTTCCGACGGAGGGGCTGTAGCCCCCTTAGCCCTCCCCTGGCGCCACCACTGCTTCGTACCCGCAGTTATTACCAACAAGAAGGTAAGGATCTACCCAGTCTGCAAGGCACAGGGTAGATCCTTGCCTTTTTTCTCCAAATGAAGTTGCCATCAGTGTTTGCGTAAGAACAGAATTTTAGGGAAATTTGTCATAGATTGCGGAACGGAACGAGGGAATTCTACACACTTGCCGGACGCAGATTTTCTCAAAATAATACACGGATTGCAGAAATTTCAAAATGTTTAGCGGGATTCTTAACCTCCTTGTTGGATAGGATTTCATCATCGCATGTTTTGATCTTGTTAATATATAAGTTGTTCATAAATAAACTTATATCCATCCATTCAGAGGTGGCGCCAGAAATCTTCCGACAGAGGGGTTGGAGCTTCCAACAGGGGGGCTAAATTGACTATAATATGCAGTAGTTTTCGTACGTTCTTTTGTCAAATTTGCTCCGACAATAACCTCAATTTTTTTCCGACAGGGGGGCTAGATGCTTCCGATGGAGGGACTGTAGCGCCCTAGCCCTCCCCTGGCACCACCACTGTATACATTCTATGCAATTTGCAATTTTGAGCAACGATTTATCTCAAAAACGAGGATTTTAGCCATAAATGGGTGCTTCTTCGGTGAATATTCAAACCTGTCGGCGAATGAAGATTGTCTCCCTCACTTTTTTGCCAAATGAGGCCTGAATAGCTAGAGCGAAAAAGCTAGCAATTCGACTGCTTACATTCTATTTATTTAAGAACGAACTAAGAGCAATGCTGCCTCGGATTTTCGAAAAAAATTAAGAACAGTTAGCCTGAACTTAAATTTACTGGTTCTTATAAAAAGAAAAGAGTGCACTTGAGATCTAGTCCGGGACGAGACCCGGGTCGATTAGCCGGGGGCCAACCCGGGTTAGATTAGCTCTGGGCAAAATCGAGTTAGTAAAAGGTAATGTGTCCATATAAAAGGACTGCGTATACCCAACATGTCAAGTAACATCAAAATAACGGCTTGTGATTGGTTAGTATTCTTGCGATGCAAAACTGCTCACATGAAAAGCTAACCTCGCAGCAGGTTAGATAAACAGAACGACTGTAATGACTGGGGCGATAACATGAAAAATCACATGTTTCTGAAAACCCCCGCAGAGTTACTTGCTTTAGCTAGACACATTACCTTTAAGCCCCAGGTGAAACCGCGACAGACAAGCCCCGGGGCGATCACGCGACAGATTAGCCCCGGGGCGAGTCCGGGGTTAGTTTGCGTCAAGTCACTCTTATTTAAAAGATCTTATGATTCACCCAGTACGGGAGGCGGCTTACATTTTCAAGAAACGTACGAGAACCAGAACAAAGGATTTCTAAAGGTTTTTGAGGACAATTAAAAATAAATTCATCCATGATACAAAAATCTTTTCGAAGTTTTCTTCTAATTAAAGAAAGTAATTTTAAAAAACCCACAACATTTGTTTTGACGAGACGTCTTAAAAATTGCTTCGAAAAAGAACGTTTTGAACACATGCTTCAGGTTTTGTCGAACACATATAAATCGGTATAAATCCGTGGAATCAAGGTAGGAAATATAGTTTTAAATTTCTCTTCCTATTTCACAAAATGCTTGTGCTATAATGGATGTCTAGTAAAATTCAGTGCGATAAAAGGATGGATTGAATAAAATTCAGTTTAAATGCTCTTCTGCATTTTGTGGTGACGCGACACTAA